TGTGACAAATCGATAGAGAAACGAAGCGATTGGATATAGCGCTCGCAGCGTCAGGTGCATCGGGCCCCGCGGCCTGGGGCAATGAGGCGGGCCTTGCGCCGTAATTTACACGGCGCTCATAATTCCCGCGCGGCTCCTCAATTTATTGCAGCCGAATTAATTTTGCCAGCGAGGCCTTTAATCCGCTCGCATCTGTGTCGCGGCAAGAACGCGCCGCGGCGCGACCACCGCCCGGCAGCGCTTCTATTGCCAGCTTCACGCATAGTTATTGTGTTTAGATAAAAAAAGAAAGTTAAAATGAGTTTTAAACATGACGGAATATTTTATACGTAAAGCAGACGAACTCATTATTTTAAAATGAATAATAAGCGAAAACGAATACTTCAAATATGCCAGAGTATATAAATCATTCAAAATTATTTATTAAAGCCCCAATAAAAGGGCATCTAAATGACATTTTTGATTTTTTTACCATACCAACAACAAGGAGTGTAAACAAATTGTGGTATTATGTTTTACATGCAAATAATAGATCGCGCATAAACCAAAACTGCAATAAACAAGAACAATTAACTTGCGCCGGCTGCCGGCGACCTAATTGCTTCACTTGTTCGCGTTCTACGTCATTGTACAACGGATACAAATGCCTTTGAACACCTAATAATCAATCCGGAGTCTATAAATAGGTTAACAAATATCGTTTCGCATCGATTCGCAAATGTTAATGTCAAGATATCAGAATTAATTGGCGGCAAGGGCTTGGCCGGCGTAAGTGTTTTGTGTAACGCCCAAGTCAACAGCGCGGAGAAAGGACTCGAAGGAGGCGCAAAAGATTATTGTAAAGTGGACGCGGCCAACCGTGAGGCGTCCATTAGCGTTCGACTACGCTGCGAATGAAACCTTTAGTGAAACAATGGAAACGCTCCGCCGTTCGCTGTAACAAGTTATATATCAATTTGCAAGGAGCAAAGCGTTTTAGAAATAATTGCACATGTCTGAGCAGTCGTAGTATACTTCAGTGCTCCAAGTATCCATATGGCGCCGACTGCGACTAACAAGGTGACGGAATGTTCAATTCACACTCTATCGATATCAATTCTAAATCTGTGACGTAAAAACCAAAAGCAAAAAGTCAATAATGAATTTAGATTATTTATTACATTATTATATATAATTATATAAACAATCCGAGGCAAAATTCCATCGCGATTAAATTTCGGATATTTCTCGTGTTCACGCGAACGATACAATAAAAATTATACCTATATTATAATTATTTTTAAGCTTAATCTCCCGATATTTTTTGATAAACTACAAAGACTGGCGAAAGAGCACCGATTCTTGCTAAGGTTGATTCGCGGGAGAGAAATTAAGAAACATCCAAAAATTAAATAAAGGCTATACTGCCTTTATTGAATTTTTGGATGTTTAAGTCCTGTCATCAGCCAGGCTAGGAGCCCATAATCCAAACCCACCAACACTCTAAAAATAGCTTCATAGAAATGAAGCAATGAAAATTAATCTATTTTTCTTACTTGGCAAAATACTTAAAAGATTTTTCTTTATGAACTGCTCGATTCATGTTTAGTAAACTTTTCAAACACACATAAAGCAGTAACGTTATATAGGGTCCAAACCAACTAGTGAGTTCATGCTTGTCCGTGTCAAAAGCGTAACACCACGAAGGCTCGTATGCCTCTCGATTGGGCCTAACGAGGTGCCAGTGACAGGGCTGATAAGGGTGCACCATTGTGCCGCGACGCCATCGATCACGGGCCCTTGTACAAAGTTTCCTTTGGCCCTCCGAGGATGTGGAGGACGTGGAGGACGCTGAGGAGCCGTGCGCAGGACAGCACATCCCCGCTGCCGGAATGCTTAATGATCGACGTTACCTTGCACAAAAACGGACACATTATGCGGCTCACGGGCCCCCCTTGTAGTTGCCAACTCATTGTCGGTGCTGCGCTCAACCAATTTCAGAACTGTATAAGGTTTTCTTTGCCACTTAAACCTCTTTCTAGTGCTACGACGTCACCAGTTCTAATAACAGTTCTTAATACGGAATTAGAGTACTTAAGACATAAAAAATATAGGCAGTCTCATGGGCACTATGGCCAGAAGTGAAAATGTAAAACAATATCAAAATTAAAATTGTGTAATATATAACTCTACATATTTTATAGACACTCCGAATGATAATAACAGATTTAGTATAACTGTATTTTTAAACATCATATCCATAAATACAAATATAGTACATTTTTGAGTATACCTTTTTTAAAAATAGCTCGACGAAGCGAGGTCTAACATTTTTTTTTTTTCACCCAAAAAGTGCTCAACGCAATTAATTTAAATAATCTACTACGACTTACAATTGAGACTTCTCGCACCCGATATACATCCGCAATTTATAACTCGAGTTACTTTTTGTACACAACACAAACTAGTTAGTAATTTAAAAAGAAAATGTAAGAAAAAAGTTATTAAAATATGTAGAAAAAGTGCGAAAAGATTGTCGCCGCTGCGGGAATCGAACCCACGTCTTCGGCATTCGCGGCCTGACGCTCTAGCCACTGAGCTAAACGGCTGATTACCACACCGACGAAAATCTTAACGCATTCTTCTACATTGTTTTCTTAGCATTTGAAGCATAGCAGCAAGCAAAAAGTTATGTTAAGCTAAGATTATTAGCATTTTTTAATCTTCCCAACCCTTTTGTTGATCAGCACCTTCAATCAGAAACAATCCACCTCAACACAGCGTGATTATATTGTCAACGGTAGTGGTCCGTCTGTCAGAATTATATTCGACGACATTGGGTGGATTTGAAATTTAATCAAGGAAAATGACAGCATAAGTACGGTGTTGCCAGTACGTGTAGATGTCTGGTGCCGACAAATTGAATTTTTAGTGTATGACATCCGTTTACTGCGTTCAGAGACATACGCGACACTTTAAAAGCAACTGTTTTACTTTCAATCTGGTACAAGACCAGATATATTGTTTTCATTGCCTTGTTTTGTGCCAATTAATCGTTGTCACAGACGTATGGAAGCAACGTTGCTGAAAGTTTTATCTGCAATTTGCCGGAGCGAAGAGTAATGGGCGCTTTTTCTCGGCCGCGGCAGCATGCAAAATATATTGAATCTAAACATTTGCGCGGCCGCTCGGCGGGAACGAGAGCGACCCGCCAAACGCCGTCGCCATTACCGACACCCGATATTTTTGCCCGCTCTAGTGCACATGATTTATCGGTGACGCACTCCTGACCGATATCGGCTCCACGCAAAGCTGTAGCAATCGGAAGCCCGATGAAACTATAGTTCTGAAACAGAAACATCGTAGATTCGGCTAGCACATAAAACCCGTTTCTTTTGATCAAAAGGACATTTACTATAATTAGGCATAAATTAAAAAAAAATATTTTGTTCAGTAATAAATTACCTACTTACTTTTAAATAAATAAGTCACTGACTATGTCTTTAGTCGGCGCCTTATTTATATTGTGGTTTTCTTTAAATAAACTTTTAAAATTTCATTTCTGAGTTACAGAAACAAAAATTATTTTGTGAGTAAATTTATTTAAGCACATCTATTTGCTTTGAATATATTTGGTTTTATAATATATTTATGTTATTATATTATGTTATTATTATTATGTTATTATATTTATGTTACTTCGTCAAATATATAACTAATGAAACCATAAAGACAAACACTAATAATGTTAACTTTTGATTCAATCTCGGTTTCAAAATCTTACATTAAAAAAAATAAGTTTGGAGTTTTTATAAAGCATTTTCATGTTTATCTTTTACATTTGTACCGATTGACAAAACGGTCGATAATTTTCAAAATAGCTTAATAACAGACTTTCGCTCCATTACTATTAACGTCCCTTTAATGTCGGCGGTACGTTTACGAACGCGCCATATGCTTCCAACTTCCAATGCATCATTAGCCCTGAATACCACCAGTAGCCGGTAATTAAACATTCCGATCCACGCACCATAAAACTATCACCGTTACAGTGAAAACATTGTATATTCCGAAACGAAAATACATGTCGCGGTGGCGATAAAAACAATTTACATCGCGCCGAATAACGACGTCATTGTATCACGGGAATTTATTTGTTTTCATTTCGTATCTAGCGCTTTAAATCTTCCCAAGCAACGGTAGCTTTAAATGATACCATTCGAATTTTAAACTGGCACGTCCTTTTGAGCCACTGCTTATTTGTGTCTCGCCTGAATGCGTAATGTCCTATCCAGTCCTATCGTACACTATGTCATAGTTTTTGTGTTATATACACGTTATATATACATGTTATATATACGTTTAATGGGGTCGGGTAGTTATAGAGAGAGGAATCATCGCTTCGCCTGCTGTCACAAACAAGTTTCTCAACAAAGTGGGCGAAGTGGACACAAAGTGTCGTTAAGCAATTAAGCTGAAAATAACAAAGGAATCGCAATATATCAGTGCATTGTTACCGAAGTTATGATATGAAGAAAAGAATAACATGTATATTTAGAAAAAATCATGTTCTCATTACCTCCGAAACTGTTTATCTATTTATATTCTGTATTTTATTTATTGAAAAAAAAAACGTAGGCTATTAAGGAATTAGGCATAGTCCCTCGCTGATGATCAGCGCCGTGGAGATATATTGCAGAAGGTAAAAGCATTATTTATGTACTGAATACAACAAATACACATGATAGATACAACATGTATATAGATAACAAGTACTTACATACATATATAGTTTCTGTTATCATGCCAGTCAAAACGAGGGCAGACCTAATAACCAGATTAACTGATGAAACATGTCTGTTATAATGTCGCCCAAATGTGAATTCCGATTTCGTACCGCTTAAAGCTCTTCCATCCACAACGGAAAACGAACAAAATGAAGAGTAAAACTAAAAAGATTACAACCCATAAGATTATATCACACGTGGGTGTGTTTATAAATGATCTAGAAAAGACGACTATGAATGACGCCAGCAGGCTTGTGTAATGCGCAGTAAGAAACGCGCGTGCAAAGTCGCGGATGTGGGAGAGTATTTGCGGCCTTGCAGCGGCGGAGCGGACGAGGAGACGTCGCCAGAGGCGATTGAGAAGGTCAGGCCGCGACACGCCCCTCGCTTCGCGGCATCATGCTCCCTCTGCGTTGGGCAAGCTGACCTCGCTACGTTTCCATCGGCCATAGATCGGTCAGGGTTTTTAAGGTACTGCTGTACCCTCGTAGCACATACCTATGCACCGTGCGACAAATCTAAAGACTACCCACATAATGTTGGATTTTTTATAAGCGACATGATTAAGTACGTACTGTTTATATCCCTTTGGAAATAATTTTCTGTAATAGCACTTATTGCCAAGGAAGCTGTAAGTGTAGTGTAACATATTATATGATGTTAAAAGACGCTGCAAAAATGTATAAATATTTGCCCGTAGAATGGGGAACTTCGCCCAACACTCATCCCAGCTTGCTATGCATCGTCAGAGCGTTGCTTCGCGCTCGCCTCCCGCCTCTCTGGGTCCTTGCATAAATACAAGTGTGAATGTACGTGCATTGTACATTTACCTCGACAAAGCAGTTCAGAGAGCAAACTCACTTATTGAGAAGCATACCGTACAAAAAGACCTCGATGTAATTAATGAATGGTTCAAATACAACCTACTCACAATAAATACCTCAAAACGTCTTTGGCCGCAAAAAATAAATCAATACCAACTTTCCCACCTCTGACTATAAATAATGAAATAATACAACGCTCAAGTGGAGAAAAATATTTAGGCCTATGGATAGATAACAAACTAACTTGGAAGCTTCACATTAACAGTGTGCAAACTAAACTCGGGTCAGTATTGGGAGCGTTTCGCAAAACAGCAAATTATCTACCAAATAAAGTACGCACTATCATCTATAACTCACTAGTAAAGTCTCACTTATAATATATGATTGAAATATGGGGATCAGCAGCTGCCACTAACTTAAAACCACTACAAGTAACTCAAAATAAAATCATTAAAGTACCTTTATCATCATTACCATTACCTGACACCCTCAAAATTAATATACGAAAAAACAAAATTACTTAATCTCACACAACTATATATATATTCAAAAGTAAATTGAGAAAATATGTAAGCATGCTATAATTAATTTTTCAAAATAATATTTTTGTAAAGTATAATGTAATATGAAGAAATAAAATGTATTCCACTATTTATTATATTGTAAAAAAAACAAAAAATTTAATACTACCTAATAATAATTTTAATGTTATTTAAAAATGCATGTGCCAGAAGTGTAAACACAATATATGATAATGAAATTTCAATTCAAATCTTATTTTAAACAAACTGTTACAGTTTTTATAAGAAATAAACTTCTTTAAACCGATAACTAGTGTGTACGAAATGCGTCGGACCTCACTTCAGATTCGTATTTATTTCGATTGGTAAGTTTTACTGGAACATATTTATACTATAAGTTAAAAGATACGTTAAAAGAGAAATATGTAATAAATCAGTAGGACACAAATTGAAGAAACGGCGTGGGCAGCTAATTATCAGAAATATTGCACTTAATATATAACAATGTATGCAGCGCGTCATGCAAGGTTGGACAAGGTCGCTCTGCATCTGCGACACGCCTTGTAGCTTGTGGCCGCGACCGAATCATAGAACGGACGATGAATAAAAATACCAGAGGTTTTTTTATAGCTATATGTTATAAACATATGCTTTTTTTTTCTAAGTTTACATAATACTGCCTAATGCTTTTAACGTCATTTTAAGTTTTTGTAGTGCCAATTAAGTTGAAACATTACAATATGTAGGAAAAATGGATGAAAAGTTTTCCGTCGCCGCGAGAATCGAACCCGCGTCTTATGGAATATCACCTAACTTAGTGGTTAAATAGTCTTTCCGTTCCGCGAAACATCACGTTTGCTTCTAGGTCACAATTTTTTTGCACAAATAAGTGATTCGTTACTCGTTTCACTGATAATGCTTTACGCATCATTAGGGATAGATATAAAAACGCTATATCTAGGATAGTAGTAATTTTGTAATTTAAGAATAAGCTAACCATAGAAAAACCCGTATAGTTTATGTAAGACGTTTCACATACTGTATATTAGGCTACCTATAAACATAAACCGATACATAACAAATTAAATTTGGTTAATTCACCGCTTACTATATTTGCATATCATTTTAAATGATGAGAAAAAAATCAGTTTCCTTTTAATTGTTGAAAATACTACAAGGAGTAATGCACAGGAGTGCGACAGGCCAAGTGGCAAGGCCGCAAACGCACGCAGCGCAGCGGCCGCGTGCTTCAACTCACGTACCCACTATCCACTATCAAATCATCAATACACACTAAAGCTTTGTACATACGCGTTCTAGCTCGAATAAGTAGTACATTGAGAGATATTATATATACGTGTGAAAATCATTCAAAGGAAAGGCAGCCTAGCGGATCGTAAATGTCTCAATCACGCAAGGAACGATCATTTGTCATCAGCCATCTACTAAACAAAAAATAATGGAACGCAAACATAATTATGTTCTAATTATTATACAGGTACTACGTAAAATAACGGTATTTGGTGAAATATTATTTATTATGTTTAAATTGTAGATCTATACATTCAAATTCGCCACTCATTAATGAAATATTGCTTATACCAAAAACTGATCATGCTTTTTATAACTACTAATAGGTATGTACATACATACGCGTTATTTAATTATCAGTAATGATTAAATAACACATTTTTGGTTAATTAATTAATGTTTTGTTCATTTAAACATTATATTACACTTGTTTACACCACAAATGTTTTACATAGCTGTACCTCAAAATATCCGAATGCAATGAATAATGTAATATTTAAAAAAAAATCTATAAGCAGCCATGTATCACTATAATTGTCATTGAAAACATATTAGTTGGCTAATAAACACAATAACTTCATTTCACGTTCAGGTTAAGAATAATATTATTACAAGTCTTTGCTAGTCGTGATGACCAAAATATGACATTACTGCTGCCCGCGACTACGTCTGCGTAGAATAGCTGAAGGCGTAAGATTCAGACAGAAAGACAGATATACATAAAATATGTACATAAATTATAGCCTTTGTCTTATTCTGATGTATAAGCTATATTATTGTAAAGTTTTATTAAAATCCATTCAGTATTATTTGCGTGAAAGATTATCAAACATTCATCCATACATGAAGACTTTCCGCCTTTATAATATTAGTAAGGAAGTAAGGATTACAATAATGAAACGCTAAATTAATAACAGCCAGCATAATATTCAGAGTAGTAGTTTTGTTTATAACATTACCACGATATATGTACGTTGTTTTTTGTTTACTATTGCACATTTTAAACTTTATTATAATTATGTTAAGCGAAAATAAATAGAATCTACAGATATAGCTCGGGGTTCCTACATTCGTACTATTTTAAGCGGTAAGAGGAAAGTTGTTTGGAAAAGAAACTCGTCTATTTATAAGAGACGGGGTCACGGAGAGACGGCGGGCAAGGTGAGTGCAGCGAGGCGACACGGATCGTGAATGAACCGCGCCGATGGCCGGCTCGGTGCGATGTGATCTTCTGGAAATCCCTTATCATCATGGTGCTAATGTTCCAGATTCACAAGGTGGGAATAACATCTTCTACCAATACATACAATAATTGTAGTTGTTACACAACCTGAATGCCGAATGTGGTCAGCGGTACGGAATGAAAATACAAATACAAGACAGACAAATAATTTGGTATCATCTATTTTAATTAGTTAGTCATTTATTAAACCAGTTTAATAAAGGCGCAGAACATAATAAGTACATCTGGAGGCCAACACTAGTTGGCCACCTCCCGTTGTCCACCGAGGAATTGTCCTAATATCAGCTCGTTAGTCGTTACTACTACTTTTTAACGACAAACTAATCGTCTTCGGGCACACGCGAGCGATTTTGTCATATGCTATTCTTAGTGTTTCTGTCTGTAGGACCACCCAACAGTATTTACCATGACATCGCAGGAGACCGGCGTAAAGTAGAAGTGTTACACTCCTGCGTTACGTCTGGTGAGTGAGGTAGCCGGGGCCCACTTTATTTCAAGGCAACGCATTTATAACCCTACGGGTTTTTCAAACGTTCATTGGCGGCGGTTATCACTTAACATTAGGTGAACCTCTCGTTTGCCACTTTCTCACATAAAAAAATACAACTTGCGTCCAAAGAGCATCGCGTTGCTTTAACGAGGCTGTTTATCTTTTAAGCTATTGCATAGCTTTTATCGCGGGCTTTGAGCGCGGCGATCGAATCAAGAAATTCGCAACTCCGCAAAAAATACGGCATAAATAAGAAATAAATAATTAACTATAATTGCATAAGTTGATAAAAAATAGCTTTACCGCAGCAGTCCCCGAGTGCCACAGGTTTTTTTATCCTGTATCGATAATAATAAACGGGCAGGCATTTTTTTCCGTTTTGTCGATAGCTTCAGTTCATTTGATTTTAATGTGTTTCAAATTGGCATGGGATAGAAGAGGCATTTTGTACAACTTCACGTACATATAACATGGTGATGGCGTGATAATAATCATAATATCTGCGGGCGCCAAAGTTCAAGTATTGAAAAGCCGGAATCCAAATTGTTAGATTTCGTGTCTGGAGGTTTTATATATAGTTCGTGACTACGCTTGCAATTAAATGGCGCCACAAAATGGGGCAAAGATCATTCATAGTTATGTGAAAAATACTTATAATATTTAACTGAGAAAAAAGTCTTCTCTTGTAACTCTCAAGCTGTTATGTATAAATGCTAAAAGTAAAGGTTTCCATGAAACCTTCCTTTTTAGGTCTTTTTAAGGTCAGCGTCAATGTTTTTATCATATTTGAAACTTTAAAGAAATGTCCCGCGCGGGACGGACAATATGCCCGCCCACAATGTTATCGCTAAAGCTTATGAAAACTAAGTTTTCTCTTCTAACTAGTCTCTTACATTTCGTTTATTATCAAATATTATGCAGAATAGCCACCCCTAGCTGGCCGCTCGCCAGCGGATATTGTCGCACCGAGCGCGACGGAGTACCTACCCAGTAACACACTTGCGGACGCACCAGATGACCACACGTGAAGCGCAGAGGGCGCCCACAAAAACACTCCTTGA